GCCCCCCATACACATACTGCCCTACACACACACACACACACACACACACACTGCCCCCCCATTCACACATTGCCCCAGACACACTGCACCCCTCACATTACACCACTGTTCCTATGCCCTACTACAGCCCCATATCCCAGGTAAGTTGTCAAACTGTTCTTAAACGTTTTGACTACTTACTCTGGGAGGGGGTAAAGCACTCCTGGCATCATAACCACTACACAGAGCTGCAGTGGTTATTGTGCATGGATTATTTCTTTAAATAATATAAAAGTGCACCTCCCGAGATCAGTCTCTGGATCCGCCACTGGGGCTGTGACATATTACAGGTCAGAGATATATTATAACAGGACAGTGACTTATTATTACAGGTCACGGATATATTATTACAGGACAGTGATATATTATACCAGGATATGGAGATATTATACCAGGATATGGAGATATTATAACAGAATATGGAGATATTATAACAGGACAGGGATATATTATAGCAGGACAGTGATATATTATAACGGGGCAGGGATATATTATAACAGGACAGTGATATATTATAACGGGGCAGGGATATATTATAACAGGACAGTGATATATTATAATGGGGCAGGGATATATTATAACGGGGCAGGGATATATTAAAAACGGGGCAGTGACATTGGAGTCATGTACAACAAGCTGGAAGAATAACAGTTATAAATTACTGGGCTGTTGGAGGATGATGGTGAAGATAAATAATAAATACAAAGTATTAAAATAAAGCGATTTTATTGTCATCAGATAAATATAAAGAAATGATAATTAAGGCAATGAAAAATATGACAGTGAAACCATAACAAAATGGTACAAAACAAATCTCAGGAGCTGAGAGAGAATGATAAAGGAATCACATTCTTCCTCTTTCTTTGGGTTATTGGATAGAGTTTGCCAACTGTGACTCTGTTAGATGGATCCGATACCAACAAAAACATAATGCGTGCACACAGTGTTAAAGTTTATAAAGAAAAAGGAACTTTTTGTGCAAACTGTTTCCAGGAATTATAATAAATTGAAAATCAGACTGCTATCTTTTAGTCGGGATTTTTTTATATTTTGAACTAGATGATGTAACTGGGAACTGGTAAATTAATTTGTACGATATGTTACAAGACCTTTATTGGAGAGTTTTGAAAGTAACAGTCTTAGGGCGAGGAGTTCTTAGCAGTTGTTCTCTGATCTGCTTTGTCTTCAAACCATAAATAATGGGGTTTAGGAGACTTGGGATAAGAATGTAAATATTTGCACAGAAAACTTGTAGACTGAGAGAAACTGTGTTTTCTACCACCCTGTAAGCAACAAAGTTGAATACTATAGGGACAGCTGCAATAAAAATAACAGAAATATGCGAGCCACACGTTCCTAGAGCCTTATGACGAGCTTCCCTAGTGGGGAGTTTGTTGACAGCCCGTAAGATCATAACATAGGACAGTATGACAAACATGAGGTCAAAGCCAATAATTGAAAGAGACACCACAAGTCCATAAACATTATTAAATTGGATATCGCCGCACGCCACCTTTACCACGGCCATGTGATCACAGTAGGAATGGTAGACAACATTTTTTGTGCAATACTGCAGTTGACCGGTCATAATTGGAAGAGGTAAGATGATCACAATGGCTCTAACCACAATGACCGTGGCAATCTTTCCTAGTATAACGTTGGTGAGAATAGACACGTATCTCAATGGGTAACAAATGGCAATGAATCTGTCATAAGCCATAGCTGTCAGGATGCCCGATTCAAACCCAGAAAGCAAATGGACAAAGAACATCTGAGTGAGACAGCATACTGCAAGTATCTGGTGAGCACCAAACCAGAGGACTCCCAACAACTTTGGCATGGTGGTACTGGACAATGCCACTTCATTCATAGCCAGCATGGACAGGAAAAAGTACATGGGGCCATGAAGACTTTTCTCTGTGATGATGACGTAGAGAATGGTACAGTTGCATAAAATACCCAGGATATAAATAATACCAAAAGAGATGGAGATCCATAGAGTACCACCTTCTAATCCAGGAATGCCGATGAGCAAGAAGGTGGATGGCATGGAGAAGCTGGAGTTGGAGTTGGTGAGCATCGGCTATTACTAGTGGCACCGGAAGGACCTCAAAGCACCAACTGGTACCGGATAAAGAAATTTTAGGAAGTCTGATGAAAGACAATGTGAGGAATACAATCACTAGCAATTACAGACATGGTGACAGTGAGATATCATTAGAATTGTACACAGGGGAGACATTTGGTTTACTAAAATCAATTCTTTGGGGGAAAAAAACAATTAAAATTAGTTTGCGTGGTTCGAATATCGTCCATGTGGTTTTCCTGTTCAGACAAATATTGACCAATAGGGAGTGAAAATGGTCTGCTCGGAGTGCTGCAAAATATAAATATCGTGTGTCTATTTCACAGGACACTGATAGGAGCAGCTAACACCATTTTGTTCCCAGATGAAGTTGAATCAATAGAGGGAAAAAGATGAGCAGTAGACCTTTATATTAAAATATTTGTATTTTATATATTTAGCAAATATATAATATAGAAATATAGAGTTTATTTACTGCCCTCCTTATTTCCCCTTCTCTTGGTCAATTCTCACTTGATCTGTGAATAAAATTAGCATTTAGTGACTGTCCTCTAACCATCAATCATCTCAATTTCTGTTTTAAAACTCTAAACACAAACATTGATTGCACAAGTTTCTATATTATTATAGAGATTTATAATGGCAAAGAGCTATCAGTATTTCTAATTTATTGAGCATTGTAGTTTTCCTCCATCAACTGATTGTATAGATTGCTCTACAGATTCCTTCATCCTCTCCCACTCTACGAAGGCTAATTAGTGATTTAGCAGCCGGTGGCTGTCCGCAGCAATAATTAAAAGATGAGGGAGATTAAAGCAGAAAGTTTGTAATGATACCGCAGTAATTAATCATTCTAAGATCCTGTGTATTTACTCTGTGTGTGCAGGATATGAGGGGTAATCATGATAAAATCATGTGTGTATTTACTCTTTGTGTGCAGGATGTGAGAGGTTAATGATTATTAAAACCTGTGTGTATTTACTCTGTGTGCAGGATGTGAGGGGTTAATGATTATTAGATCCTGTGTGTATTTACTCTGTGTGCGCAGGATGTGAGGGGTTAATCATTAGTAGATACGGTCTGCATTTAGTCTGTGTGTGCAGGATGTGAGGGGTTAATCATGATAATATCATGTGTGTATTTACACTGTGTGCACAGGATGTGAGGGGTTAATCGTTTTAATATCCTGTGTGTATTTACTCTGTGTGTGCAGGATATGAGGGGTAATCATGATAAAATCATGTGTGTATTTACTCTTTGTGTGCAGGATGTGAGAGGTTAATGATTATTAAAACCTGTGTGTATTTACTCTGTGTGCAGGATGTGAGGGGTTAATGATTATTAGATCCTGTGTGTATTTACTCTGTGTGCGCAGGATGTGAGGGGTTAATCATTAGTAGATACGGTCTGCATTTAGTCTGTGTGTGCAGGATGTGAGGGGTTAATCATGATAATATCATGTGTGTATTTACACTGTGTGCACAGGATGTGAGGGGTTAATCGTTTTAATATCCTGTGTGTATTTACTCTGTGTGTGCAGATCGTGAGGGGTTAATCATTATACGATCCTGAGTGTATTTAGTCTGTGTGTGCAGGATGTGAGGGGTTAATCATTATTAGATCCGGTGTGTGTTTACTCTGTGTGTGCAGGATGTGAGGGGTTAATCGTTATAAGATCCTGTGTGTATTTACTCTGTGTTTGCAGAATGTGAGGGGTTAATCATTTATAAGATTCTGTGTGTATTTACTCTGTGTGCAGGATGTGAGGGGTTAATCATTATCAGATCCTGTGTGCATTTACTCTGTGTGTGCAGGATGTGAGGGGTTAATCGTTATATATTTATTTATAAAATATTTTACCAGGAAAGATACATTGAGATTTCTCACTTTTTCAAGTATGTCCTGCGTCCACAAATCATTGCATTGTTACATTAGGGTACAATAAAATACAAAACCAATATTAATACACAATATATACAAAATCTAACGAGCAGGTAGGAAATATATAATCAACCATGACAGGTGCATTCTGTTTTGAGGTATGTAGAGAGGGATCTCTTAAAGGACTTTATTAGGCTTAGGGAAGATTTTAAATTGTGTGGGAGGTCGTTCCACAATTGCGGCGCTCAGGATCGGGCCACTTTCTTTTTGTATTGAGGTAGATTAAATTAACTGTTGGTACTGTATCGGAGGTTATATAAAGTGGGAACAGCTGGGGAAAGCATTTTGTTCATGATAAAATCATGAGATCCCGTGTGTATTTACTCTGTGT